CACACACACACAGAGACACACACACAGAGAGACACACAGAGACACACAGAGACACACAGAGACACACACACAGACACACACACACAGACACACACACACAGACACACAGACACACACAGACACACACACACAGACACACACACACAGACACACAGACACACACACAGACACACACAGAGACACACACAGAGACACACACAGAGACACACACAGACACACACAGACACACACACAGACACACACAGACACACAGAGACACACAGACACACAGAGACACACACACAGAGACACACAGACACACAGAGACACAGACACACAGACACACACACAGACACACACAGACACACATAGACACACACACACAGACACACACAGACACACACAGACACACACACACACAGACACACACACAGACACACACAGACACACACAGACACACACACACACACAGACACACAGACACACACACAGAGACACACACAGAGACACACACAGACACACACAGACACACACACAGAGACACACACAGACACACAGAGACACACAGACACACAGAGACACACACACAGAGACACACACAGAGACACACAGACACACAGAGACACAGACACACAGACACACACACAGACACACACACACACAAACAGACACACACACACAGACACACACAGAGACACAGACACACACACACAGACACACAAACAGACACACACACACAGACACACACAGAGACACACAGAGACACAGACACACACAGACACACACATACACAGACACACACAGACACACACAGAGACACACACAGACACAGCTGGGTGAAGAACTTGGAGTACGACAGGCACAGCCGCCTGCTCGCCACCAGGCTAGGTGCACCTTGAGGCTACTGGGCAGTTGGAGGCAGTCGCCCTCCAACAACAACGGAGGGCGGAGGAGCGACGCTCACAACAACGGGCGGAGCGCCGGGTGGCTAAAGCACAGCAGGTTGGCACAGTAGGGGGCACAGGTGGTGCACCAGCCAGTCATCTCAGTCAGTCGACCCGTGGCACCTGGGTCTGCCCCATGACTTGGTGCACCTAGCCTGGCACAGTAGGGGGCACAGGTGGTGCATCAGCCAGTCATCTCAGTCATCTCAGTCATCTCAGTCAGTCGACCCGTGGCACCTGCTGGGTCTGCCCCGTGACCTCCTGCCAGCGGGCGTTCGACACTTCACGTGGTAGCCTCAGGGTGCACATGGCCTGGCACAAGCGCAGCGACATCGGACTGGGATAGTCACGGCGTGCGATGCGTTTAGTTTTTAGTTTTTATTTTCTTTACTTTTGGTTGAGCCCCCACCCACCCCCCCCCCGTCTGTGAGCCAAAGAAAAACTAAAAAGACGAACAAGAAAAATCATCTGAAGGTGGCTACTTTGTGTGTCGACTTTGCGCTAGACAGAGAATCAATGAGAGAGAGAGAAAATAAACAGCAACAAAATTATTCCTGGGAAAAAAAAGCGCCCGTTTACAGCACCAAACAAACCCCTGTCAAACAACGGCAACCACAACAACAACAACCACAACAACAACAACCACCAACAACAACCACAACAACAACCACCACAACGACAACCACAACAACAACCACAATAACCAAAACAACAACAATCACAACAACAACCACAGCAACAACCACAACAACAACAACCACAATAACAACAACCACAATAACAACAACCACAACAACAACCACAACAACAACCACCACAACAACCACAACAACAACCACAACAACCACAACAACAACCACAACAACAACCACAACAACAACCACAACAACCACAACACAACAACCACAACAACCACAACAACAACCACAACAACAACCACAACAACAACAACCACAACAACCACAACAACCACAACAACAACCATGGTGAGAGTCATCATGGTGGTCTCTGTGGTGAGAGTCATCATGGTGGTCTCTGTGGTGAGTGTCATCATGGTGGTGAGTGTCATCATGGTGGTGAGTGTCATCATGGTGGTGAGTGTCATCATGGTGGTCTCTGTGGTGAGTGTCATCATGGTGGTGAGTGTCATCATGGTGGTCTCTGTGGTGAGTGTCATCATGGTGGTGAGTGTCATCATGGTGGTGAGTGTCATCATGGTGGTGAGTGTCATCGTGGTGGTCTCTGTGGTGAGTGTCATCATGGTGGTGAGTGTCATCATGGTGGTGAGTGTCATCATGGTGGTGAGTGTCATCATGGTGGTGAGTGTCATCATGGTGGTGAGTGTCATCGTGGTGGTCTCTGTGGTGAGTGTCATCATGGTGGTGAGTGTCATCATGGTGGTGAGTGTCATCATGGTGGTGAGTGTCATGGTGGTCTCTGTGGTGAGTGTCATCATGGTGGTGAGTGTCATCATGGTGGTGAGTGTCATCATGGTGGTGAGTGTCATCATGGTGGTCTCTGTGGTGAGAGTCATCATGGTGGTGAGGGTCATCATGGTGGTGAGTGTCATCATGGTG